TTTAAAGGGCCACCCGGACCCCCCCCCCTGCCATTGGCAGGGACATCTACAACTAGATCAGGTTGCGCAGGGCCCCATCTAACCTGACCTTGAATGTTTCCAGGGATGGGGCACCTACCACCTCTCTGGGCAACCTGTTCCAGTGTTTCACCACCCTCATTGTAAAAATTTTCTTCCTTATGTCTAGTCTGAATCTACCTTCTTTTAGTTTAAAACCATTACCCCTTGTTCCATCGCTATTGGCCCTGCTAAAAAGTCTGTCCCCATCTTTCTTATAAGTCCCTGTTAAGTATTGAAAGGCTGCAATAAGGTCTTCCCGCAGCCTTCTCTTCTCCAGGCTGAACACCCCCAGCTCTTTCAGCCTTTCCTCACAGCAGAGGTGTTCCAGCGCTCCAATCTTTTTTGTGGCCCTCCTCTGGACCCGCTCCAACAGGTCCACGTCCTTCCTGTGCTGAGGACCCCAGAGCTGGATGCAGGACTCCAGGTGGAGAGTAGAGGGGCAGAATCCCCTCCCTCGACTTGCTAGCCATGCTTCTTCTGATGCAGCCCAGGATACAGTCGGCCTTCTGCGCTGCAAGAGCACATTGCCGGCTCATGTCCAGCACCTCCCTCGACTTGCTAGCCATGCTTCTTCTGATGCAGCCCAGGATACAGTCGGCCTTCTGCGCTGCAAGAGCACATTGCCGGCTCATGTCCAGCTTTTCATCTATCAGTACCCCCAAGTCCTTCTCCTCAGGGCTGCTCTCAACCCCTTCATCCCCCAGCCTGTATGATACCAGGATGATACAGACTTAGTGCCAAGAAGAGAGAACGAACTTATCTTGCAGTCTGCCCTCCCATGCTATCTTTGTTTTCACTGCCAGAACCAGAAAAGAAGAAAACTAGAACAGTCCAACCTCTTTGACCTGCTGCTGAATGCAAGTATTCTGGCCTCAGTGGAGAACATACAACAGACCAGATGGAAAAGCACCACGGTGGTTTTTTTTTGTGTCCTTATGCCTGTGGTTCCCTCATTATTAAGCAGAGCAATGTCACTTTACTCCATGAAAACATTCAATTGTTACGCTTCATAAAACTTGGGTATTTAAAGAGGTATTGTTATAGTCTGTTCAGAGCACCTTTTAAGGAATGCTTATCTATATGTACAAGTAACAGTACTGTTCACTGCTTCTTATAGTACAGTACTGTTGACACAAAAACAGCAGAAAAGAGTTTTTGGTTAAAAGAAGATGGAACAACTGCAACCTCATGAGGTAAGCAAGCAAAGGAACAGGACACTTGCTTTCAAGAGCCATTTTCCTGCTCCTAGAACCTCTGTCTTAACTCCTTTCCTTCTCTTCCACCAAGCAATCCAAAAGCAGGTCTTCAGCCTCACTTACTGTCCCAACGAGACATGAAGTATATTGATTATCTCACAGTTAAAGGACAGAGCAAAATGCAGAACTAAAAAAGGGTTAAAGAAAGAGAAAAACTAATGGAAGCCAAGCCATTTCTGGCTAATCAAACTCCCTAAATGAAGGAAATCTTTGTTTCTTCCACTTTTCTGCTTTCTATCTACTGGCCACTACTGAGATACCAAGGTAGATGTTTGTTTAACCTGAAGCGCATTTAGGAGTACGTAACTGCTTAAAAGAAGTTAGGAATGAGAAGTCATGCTGAGAATCACACTAAGTCTCCCTCAAAAAAGAAACAACCAGAAGTTCTTACTGTGACAGTCTAAAACAGTCCCAGAAGTGCTACTGAATATAGTGGAATTGTCTGCATTTTGCTTCCAAACCAGAAATTTAAAAAAGCTAAAAAAATAACTACAATGTAGGCTTGAAGAGTCTCAAACCATGCATCTGAAACACTTGCTACGACATCAAAAGGAAAAATTCAACTTCCCTGCTCTACTTTATGCACACAGTAACACTGCATATTTATTCCCATTCCATCCCTTGATTCCCCAGAATTATTTCTAGGAGAGCTTGGCATTTTGGTTTCCGGAATAGTCACATTTAAAGATAGAATACAGATACCATCATCTTTACCTTTTTCATGGCCATGCAACATGTGAGATCGTGGTATACAATAGGCACATGGTCTTTAGAAAGATGTACATCGAATTCCACATAGGCTGCTCCCTGCAGAAAATTGAAAAACATACTGAATAAAACAAAACCCCATTAACTATTTATGCACAAGGACTCCAGAACTGCATACAAGTTGCCAAGTATTCACAGGTCCTGGACATTAACCAGAAGTTGAATGCAACTGGCTGTTACCAGTTTAATCATACTCAACAATGGATTAGAAATGACCAAAAAAAAAATCATAGGGGAAAGTATTTTAATTACCATAATGCAGCTCTGATACATTTAACTTACTAGAGGGTTTACAAGATTAAGCAACATTCAAGTATTGTAAACTTGATTTCAGAGAAAGGCTAAGATGATGTTTTTAAGCACAGATAACTTTGCGGTGCTCTTCCTCCCTCCTCCCTACCACCCCACCAAGAGACAAGTGATTGCTACAAATTGGCAAAGCTTTAGGGAGATATTCCATATACTGAGGAGCTTCTGGAGTCACTAGTGAATAACACAGTAGTAGTGTGTTACAACACGCACAGGAGCAGAAATAGCTACGTCCAGTATTCTCCTTTTCAACTGTATATTATTTTCGGTTAAGCTTAAAAAGCAAGAAAGTTCAAACAAGACCTCTAAGTACAATCTTTTTGAAAACAGGGAGGGCCAGAAAGATTGAAAACACACAGAAACATTTTTTTTGTTGTTGTTGTTGCTTATTTTCACATCTGTATATTGTTTCTCTGAAAGGACTCCAAGAATAACATTCATCAAATTATCATCCTGACTCGCATACTCTTTTTCAATCAGTACAGAAAGAAAATAGGACAGGCTTTTTTCAGCCTTTTTCTCAGCAGAAGTATTTTTAGAGTGGTGGCTTTCAGCCTTTTCAATCTGCAAATAGCTGAAAGTACTTTTCTGGTGATGCTGCTCATGACTTCACAGTAAATTTCTGCTTCAATGCATACTTCTTGTGGGCTTTTTAAAAGCTGTCTATAAATCTGCAGCATCCACCCAGAAATTAAGAACTACTGTTCAAAAGGATCATTTAGCAGCTGCAGTTTTCTTTCACTCTGCAGTCAGTGCATGTTCCAGACCCTGTGTTCAAGTTATACTCCGACTCCCAAATGAGAGAAAGCTTTCAGCTATGACTCTTGGGGAGTACAGTACTCCAGAATCAGTAGCCAATAAGCATAATACTCCAGATTCTGCTCCCATCCCTTTAACAACTTCTAAAGACGTTTGGTAAGAATCAACATTAGTGAGGAAGTACCAGAAAAGGCTTAGAAACCCTACAAGTTAAGCAGCAGGTGATCTCATAGCAGCATCTTTATGTAACTGTAACCACAGCTCTTCACCGTCAAAAAAGGAACTAGACAAGGAGCCTCTGAATATGCTTCTAACTCCAGCTACTCTGCTGCAGTGTCTCACTAGGTTGTCTAGGTCAATCTTACCACAGATCACTTCAGTGACTGAGATTATTGGAAGGAATAAAAGCGACCACCTCAATCACAGAATTTAAGCACCTGAAGCTAGTATCTCCCAAATTGAAAGGCTCATCTTAGGATTCAAAGTCTTCGTTGTAGCAAGCACTGAAACTAAGGATTGTTTTATTCTACCTGCTCAGCTCCCAAGTCTGATTTTTGGACACCAATTTTAGGTACTCAGCAGTTCCAGAGTGAGACTTTTGCCACGTAAGAGTATGCTGACAGACTCTAGCAGCGCCAAAATTCCATTCGTTTGTTCAAAATTATTCCAACCCTATGTCTCTGCAGGGTTGAGATTAAAACTTTCCCTGTATTAGAACACCACCAGCACACATTAGATGGAAGTTGGGGTTTTTTTTTTTGAGGAACTTGATAATAAGAGTCTCATCTAGTTATTACTTTCTTTCTCATCTAGTGATTTGATACAATTTTCTATCAGTGCAATTACCATTCATTGTATTCTATCAGGGAAATTAAGCATACAAGCCAAGCAAGTTTTAACTATACGGGTACTATGTGCATGCGAACGTGAGTACATACGTGACTAGCAGCGTTCCTCAGAGAGGCAATAGTGTTTTCTTGAACTTTAGCAAGCCTGAAATAACAGCAAAGAAAAAGGTTTTGTTAGATGCAGCATGGCACAGCAGTCCACTGAAACAGAGATACAGATCAAAACTCTGCTTTACAGAACATCCACAATTGATATTGAAGCGACTTAAATGAGTATGGGTTGTAGCTTTTTATTTTAAAACTGTCTGCTTCCTCAGTTGATGTCAGTGAAACTAAACATAACCCCCCTCCCAGATTAAAATGCAAATGAACTTACTTAGCTGTTGTTGTAGAATTTCCTGCTCCCCTGTGTCCAACATCTAGAGTTGTTCTTGGTTTCCAATATTTTGCATATGAAGCCTTCATATCACAAGTGTATCCCTGGATCGGCTTAATAATTATGTAGTCCACTACAAGAAAAATAGCAAATGCTTCACATGTCAATAGATCATGGATGACTTCCAGTAAAGTTATCTACATCTGTTTGCATCAACTGTACCTCTAACTTTTCCAATTGTCTTCCTTGGATTTCTGCTCATAATCTTTCCAAGTTCTGCAATTGTGGATGACAGGAGGCAGGCAGAACCTACATGACCTGGGAGCACATCACCTTGTACTACTTTCTCACCTAAATCTTCCTAAAAACAAAACAAACAAAAACCAAAACCACCTACTGTTATATGTAGGTGAGAATGCTAAACAAACTCCTTTTTCTCATGGAACCCTTGCTCCTCAGGACAATATATACAGGCACTGATGTAACAGAAATTTCTTGTCTGTTACAGAAAAAAACCTAAATTTCAGGCTCAAAATTGTTTACTGTAACAGTGTGTAGCAAGTTATGATCAGCAATATGGAATTGTTGATGGAAATCTAGGAAATCATGTACATTTGTCTTTGAAAACTTACATTTGATAAGCTTTTCAGATCAAAATTGCATACCTGGAACAGCATCTTCTAAAAAGCCCAAGTCATGTTTAGAACAAAATGAACTGGAATAATATATATGCTTAAAATAACGTTATATTCATTTGCAGGGAAGGAAGAAGGCAGCTAGCACACAGAACATATATGTCTTGACCATCATCAGGTTCAGGAACTATGTAGTCACCTTACAATTATGAATGTAAGTGATCTAAGGGTATTTTTAGACTGAAGAGAGAATGCTTAGAACTTTCTTCTGCATAAACAGTATGAAGAAACAACAGTTGTTTTCTTTTATAAAAGGACTTTGAATATTAAAATCTTTCAGAAAAAAATAGAGTGCAAAATAACTGATGTAGTAGTGAGAATCAGGAAGCACCTGGTTTTAATTTGCACTAGTTAGTTCAGAGAAATCTCTTTGTTTATAACTTGAAAATCAAGATCAAATAATTTAACTAGCTCATATACACATTGTTCAGATTAAAAAAGGATAAGCAAAATTGATCCCTGGTAAAGGATAAAAATCAAGCCAATCTAACTACATGCAGTACTGCACACCAAGATGAGTCTTATTTGTACTGACTTCTAAATAAGCAGAAACTGCAAAGCTTTCTGTGCCATACCCAGACAACTCACAAAACCTTTCTGCAAAATGGGGCAGTAGCCAATAGTCTCGTAGCTTGTTTACACAAGTCCAAAAGATCAAGAATATCAGGCAATAGCCCTATCCCAATAGTAAAATCTTCATGGTAATTGAATCCTTTAACTCTTGAAGGCAGACTGGAGTTGCTCCTTACTGATAGAGAGACATACCTCAAAAAAATCAAAGATTAATTCCAAGTTATCAGGCTCCATGGTTTGTATAGTGTATTCTATCCATCGGTCTGGCTGCAAAGCATAGCCACAGTCTGGCTGAGAGTGTCGACATTTATATTCGTTGTTACTTATTAAGGAGAACTCCACAGTGTTTGCCATTTTCTGAGGGACAGTAGGGGATGTTTTCTCTGGGCCCTCTTCGTCATCCTCATCTTCCTCTAGGCCTTCTAGAGTCAATTTTACTCTACTCAACCAGAAATACAAAACAAACGGTTAAGTTACAGGAGCGTCTTTGGAAATATTGAAGAATTAGAAAGAAGCTTGAGCAGAAGGTCATACAGCACAATTCTTCTCAACACCACCATCGACAGGAGAGCAGTGTACACAGTGGGCCCTCACAAAAGTCAAGAGCTTGCAACTGTTGTCTAAATCTTATTTTAGTCAGATTTAAGTGCCCAAGTCACTTCCAAAACTGGAACTTGCATAAATGTAAAAACTGTACTAATGGTCTGAGAAGCAGCACTCCACCAAACTAATGATTTGGGTTGCCAAATAGACAGCCTTTCTCCACAGACTGATATCCATAAGGCCAAAAGGTTAATGAAAAGCACTGAAAATAGCAGTAATTCTCAAAAATCAATACCTGAATATTGGTGACTCCTAATAAGTACATACACACAACTTTAAGTCTCTCTGAACACCGAGAGGGCAGATAAATGTATTCTATTAGACATAAACAAGATAGTCTGAAGTAATTAGAAAGTCCCTTGAGAAACCCTAAATGATCATTTAAAAGTAAACTGAATGCAAGTTCTGAAAAATCCTGGACTGGGAAGAACAAGCCTCTCTAAGACTCAGAATTCATTATTATACAGAGCAAACCTTCCACGCAGAATGAATTATGACAGTGATGGAAGCATATATGAGTAATCCAAATCCCTTTCTGAATCATCTGAGCAGCAGATGGGATAAAGAGTTATCATTTAGTTAGATGTCAATCCACTAGTGAAACTGAAGTCATATCTCAAAGCAACAATTACAGTCATAGAAGTCCTTTACACTAAGTTCACATTCTTAATACCCTCATTAAAAAAAAAAAGTCACAACACAGATGCTCTACAAACTTGAAAAATGACACTGCCATAGCAAGTAAGAGTCACAAAAACTACCTAACTTTTTAGGCAGAATGTGGAAAACAGAGTATCTAATAAATGCATCCAGCTTATCAAGTCTGGATTTCAACCATCTAATTTAGACAAGGATCAGGCTTCAGAAATTGCTCTCTCTCTACCTGCTATAACACACAAGGGAAAATTGCAAAGCTCTAGAGAACACAAGAGTACATAAGTATTAATTCTCACTGAAGAACATTGTATTAAATGCTTTCCCTCATCAGAATAGTTGGAATGGGGAGTGGGGGAATAAAAATTTTAAAAAAAAATAATCAAGTGTCAGACCATCAAAATAAGGCGCACAGTACAGAACTCACTCCCAGGTGAACCGAGTGATCTGTAAATCATTTTGATAGCGGTGTGCTGGAAGTTGCTCATATGTTACAAGCTCAAAATCTGATTTCTAGCAATTAAATAGAAAACTTTTTTTTTTTAAATGTTTTCCATTAAACAAAACAGGGAACCACAATCCTTTCCAAACAAGAAGATAGGCTGTATGCAAGATTAGGAGTGGGAGAAACAATGTTAGTCTGTCAAAGGATCTGAGTGTTCCTGCTTCCCTCTTTCCCATTGGTAAGAGCAACGCATGGCTAACATACTACCTAAAAATTGTTGTTGTGAAAAAGCACTTTTACTGAGGATTGTTAGTAGTGGCAGTCATCATGCGTTCAGAGATGTGTCAGGCTCTAGTTAAGGAGGAGAGGTTTTTATACTTCCCAACTCTTTTTTCCACCAAAAAAAAGGCTGTGAAAGATGCAGAAAACAAGCCTACACCACACAGTACAACAATATGTCCTGGGATAAAGTTTGGCAACCACAGAGCTCCAAGGAAAGCTGTATGTAGGAAGGAGAGGGGCAGGGAAGAGAGAGCAGGCTCCTGATCCCAGAAATTCAAGAGGGCAAAGAGATCAAACACTTGGGGCAACAGCACAGTCCTCAAAACATCAGGACTAAGATATCCGCTTCTGTCAGTCAACTGTATAGTTATAATAATGCCTGCTTTTTGAGGCACCTCTGCAGATAAAAACATCAATTTGATCTAAATAGCAACAGAAGTGATTAGAGAACACTTATCTCCACCATTCATGTTGACAGAACACCAGTGGAGAATTAACTGTATCTTAAATGGAGAGGGGTGTTTACTTCGGTAAGGAGAAAAAGTAGTAAGCAACAAGAAACCTGGAAGCCTTCTCCCTTTCCTTTCCCCCAACTTCCACTTCCATTCTGCTCTTTTCAAGAAGATAAGAAAAAAAGAACAAACAAGAAAACTCTCTAAAAGTAACAGCAGGGAACTACTGAAGAACACTACAGTTCCAGCCAAGAAGCAGGGAACACCAAGGCAAGTATGGAATAAGTATTTGTGAAAGACACCCGTTACCTACTGCTTAACTTGTGCTATCACATCTGCTTTATACATATTTAATAGCTTAATAACTATCAGAGAGGCAAGAGTTGAAAAGTATTAAGTCAGCAGTGAAGCTAGAATAGTTTTGTTTGACTGTCTTCCTTTGTTGAAACAGAAGGAACTCTTTTGACACTACGTTAATAATAAAATGAGGTAACTGAAACACACCACTGACCTAATGTTATCACCTATTTTTGCAAAGTGCTTAAATACTTGGAAATTGGCCTGATAGTACATCCCTATTAGCAACCCAGAATTAATTTAAAGGCTGCATTAATCAAGTAAAAAAGAATTACTGGTATTGACAACTAACATGAGATAAATTGCAAACCGAGATGAGCAGGCTCTTACCTAAACCTTGATGTTTTAAATTTCTTCTTAGATATCACTACAGGTGGTTTCTCAGAATAATGCAGGCGTAATCTTATTTCTGTTTGACATGTCAGCCACCCAGCATCCACAGTTTCAATACCATCTATCAAAAATTAAACAAAAAGTACACAATACTCTTAACTTATTTTAGGGAGATCCAGACAGTTTAATATACAAAATATAAATACAGTTCCTCTGACACCATCCTCCAGGCAATCCTCCTTATTGCCAACCATATTCAACAGTATTTCCAGTGGAATTGTTGAGTGCATCCTTTCACCTGTCTTTTCTGAACTACCCAAAATAGACAACAGATACTGCAGTTGCTTGCTGGCTTTTAAGGGGATTAAATAGGAACAATGATCCTCACCAGTTTCATGTGTAAACTGTCTGCAGAAGAGCACTAAGTATTCCAGTGTTAATTTCATTTATGGTATCAAGGGCTAAGTTAAGTCTCCAAAGGCACACATAACATTCCCTTGTCTCTTAATACACAAATACACAGAGTAACACTGACAACAGAAACTCTGAAGATTCATAAGCAACTTGAGACTCCCTGTTTCTATTAAGATACAGGTGCCAAATTAGCTCATAATCAATGTCAGTAAAGCAGTGTAAGTCTGAAGGACAGGATATAGCAACAGATATGACGGGGAATCAAAGCATGGAGAAGAATCCTCAACCTCACCGCCAGGACAAGGAAAGCCTACAAGCAGGATGGCCAGAAAGCTCAAGCTGCCAGACCACGTGCTGAAGCGGACCCTGCAGTTTTGAAGAGTTCCTAGCAAATTGTATAATTTGATGAGGATATGAAGAAAAATGAAAAAGCTTTAAGACATGATGTATGAGACAAGACAAAGAGTTACCTTAGGCACCACAGGATTGAGCATTAAGTGAGAGGTGGGTTAGAACTGCCAAAAGCAAGACATATGCACGCACAAGAGTGTGAGGTTTGAGCTTCTGAGAGGTTTTGGCAGTTATGTGCCTAACTGAAGAGGCAGATTGTGTACATTTAGTATAAATTTTTTTTTTTTTTAGGCACGAAGAGTTTTTTCTAAGGCTAGGTTTTAAAGAGAAAGCTAACTGTCTATATTCTGTATTTCCAAAAATACATGCTCATGATCTAAAGTTTGCAAATTTCAACCTTAACACCAGCACACTGACAATATTTCAACTCTTCCTAGCAGTCTTTTATTAACATTAGAAGGGATTACAGCCTGAGTGTGAATTCACCAATGCTGAATACAAAAATAACCATATAAGCAGAGAAAACAATCACTTACAGGAAATTCCTGTCAAAACTAACTTAGTATTTCAAATATTTTTCAACTACAACACTTAATCTTGTTAAAATTAAATACGTGGAAAAGAGCAAAGGTCAATACATCTCACTTACTACGGATTCCAAAGTATCCATCGTCAATAGTTATTTCATTTTCTAGAATTAAAAGGAGGGGAAAAGAATGAAAGAAACTAATTAGTATTCACATTATAAAGAATCATTGCCAAGTTAAATTAATTCTACTTTTTCACTTCACTTCTAAAAAGTATATCTAATAAAAAGTAGGAAAACTGAAACAGACAAAGAATAAGCATGTTTGTTGCAACCTTCTATAAAGCTGTTTCTCAATTTATGCTTTTTCTTAGTTTCTGCAAGAAAAACGAATCAACACACAAAATGCTATAAGATGTTTTACCTGAAGTAATCTGAACTGAGAAAAGCAAGAAGGTTGCATAATTTCCTAGTTTGCTGCAGTATTTTGCTGATAATATCTACATCCTACTAGAATCTAAGATGCTTTTCTTGTTAGTGTCCAAGACAAGAAAGTTTCTTGCAAACATACAAGAAAACTGCCCTCCTGCACATTTACAGCTAGAGCTTCTAAATCAAGTTAGTCACAATTAAAATGCTTATTCTGCCCCTGTGACAGAAACCAACCTAGGATGAAATATTCAAGAACACTCATTTCTCACTTACTTTTATCCTTATCCTCTCCAAAATTTTAATAACTGAAATCTTAAGGCACTAAGTAAATTCACCAGCATTAACAGAATTGCAGTAGTCTAAACAAACTATACGTTTCTCAAAACATGAATCTTAATTTTGTCTCTACAGTCATTAATCCAATTTTTTTCTAAGAATAATCATGGGCCTGCCCTCAATTTTTAATAACCACAGGCAACAATTTAGGATCATAATGACCAAGTGCTAAAATCCTGGGTTTGCTGCATTTTCTTAAAGACTGCTTATGAAGCATTGAGTATTACTTGGGGGGAAAAAAAACCATCCTAACTGTTGGAATTAAGTTATCCAAATTTAGAGATGAAGTCTAGACTCTAACAGAGGGTAGGCTGCTTCCCTAATCAGTTACTGACAAATACAGAAACATAATCTTGTTACAGGAATAGAAACACTTAACTAACTCAATTGAAATTAAAAAAAAAAAAAAAAAAGGTGGGGGGGAACATGATCATGGTACTATTAATGATTAACAGTTTCTTTAATACCAGCTTCTTTCTACAAGACGTATTTTTTCAATGCATCAGAAGGTATTTAATAGATGTAAACTCCTAAGTGTGGAGGAAATAACATTTTTCATATCCTAGGAAAGACAGCGCATAAAACGTGCCATCCCACAGCAGCATAAGAGATCTAAATTACAAGCTACATTCAAAGGATATTTCAGTCACTCTTAAAAAAACAAACTTTTCCCCTGTTCAGAAAAGCATTAGGAACTTGTACGCAAGCCTGCATGTCACCTTTTCTTCCAGCAAGCCCATTCATGTTTCTGTTTACAGTAATCCATTTACTTAAGCCTAATTAAGAATTTTTGCTTTAAAATTTTAGTAATGGAATAGTAGTTAAATAAAAACAGCAGTGACTTCACACACTCCCCCCTCCCCACATTTTCTCTGAAAAATAATATGGATCCTTAGTCTCAAAGAATTAAACTTACAGAAAATTATTACAATTACAAATTAATAAAAAAAACAACCCACATATTCTTAAGGATGGCAGCAAACAATCTCATATTCACTCCATTTTTAAGCCACTTATTTATATATATATTTTGAGAGTAAGGCCCATGTTGTGCAAAGAAAAAGTTTATACCTCCAACACATTAATAAATTTAAGTATTGTAAAACTATAGTTATCAATCCCTCTAAACCAATGTGCAGCATATTAGCAATCTTATGCATATGCCTCAAACAGATGCAGTTGATGCCCATACCTAAAGGGGTAATTGATCGTGGTTGTAGATGAGTCTCCCACATGTGAACTATGACTTCGCAGGGACCATCGATAGTCTGTAATTTAAAAGTTAAATGTCTGCAATAATTTCTTTTGTTATATCTGATTTTCTACCCATGAAGCTGTTTGGGATGGTTGTGAGCTAAACTTACAGTTTAATAAAGAAAAAGAAGAAACAGAGGGGGACAGAGAGAGAATGAAAGAGAAAGAAAGAAAACAGATCAGCCTTGTTTCTTACCCCTGCAACTGCTGATGACACTATTTGATGCATTCAGTATACATATGACAATACTTGTGACAAAGTCTGACAGGGTGGAGAAGTTACATGGAATTATTAAATCTTTACTGCTTACAGCTACTCCTCTGTACTACTTTAGTCTCCTTCTGATACAAAAAAAACAAAGTGTCTCTGAACTCATTCAGTGTGCTTCCTTTTTTCTTAAGGTACTACAGCAACAATTTATGAAAAAACATAACCCACATCTCTAATTCCAAACAGCACTCAGCATCTACTCATGCAGTTAACAGTTGCAGGGGTGGGTTCTCCCTCAAAATTTTCTTGAATAATTCAAAGTCTATAAAACAGTTACTTTAGCTGTGGTACAGAAGAGCAAATTATTTACCATCTAATTAAAACATAAATACGTGGAATTTTGCTGCCGCAGAAGGAAAAAGACACTGATACAATCGAATCGGCCAGCAGTGAAGCCCCTGCAGTTTATTTCATTTGGAGCAGTATAAATTACATTCTTTCACCAAAAAAAAAAAGTTATTGTCCCTCAAAAGACTACATTTGTTGAGAAACATAGCCAAGACTCAGATAGATAATCAGAACAGTAACTCAATCTCTTCTTTCAGAACAATTTAAGTTTGAAATAGCTTTCCAGGTTCAAGCTTTTAGGTAACCACCAGCTAACAACATAAAGAACATACCCGATTCCCAGCTCAGTCACCCTAAGAAGTTTCCCTTGACATTGCGTGGTTGTTACTATCAGTCGTAAGGACCAGTGTCAAATAGCTGCAGAGTTTGTCATTTTGGTGTTTTGGGCCTAAGTAACTCCTATTTCCAAAAAGACTTGCTACTATTGCCAGAGTCATATCAGCTTCAACACCAACTTGTCCCAGTACTTCGGGTTCTTGTTCAAATAGATTTCAGATCAACAAGGACATCTGGGCAAGCTTCATACTCAGCAGTATAATTACACAGTACCATAATGATTTGCTACCTTACAGCTCACTGAATAAATTCTTTAGCAGCAGACAGGATTTCTTGACATATATCAAACACATTTAATCTACTATGCTTTTGGATGAATTAAAAGCAAATACCAAATATTTTAAAAGCGCTGAATAAGATAGGTTTGCTCTGAGAGTCTCAGCTAAAAGCAATTCAATTTTTCTAACGAATTCAGAGGCATCTACACTTAAGGGTCATGTCAGAATAAAATACATATGCTTAAAGTTCTGCTTTAAAGATAGAATGCATGTAAATATAAGTCGATACTATTGTTTTTGGTTTATTCCCGTTATAGGGCAGTTTTAATTCCCATCTTCTCACTGCTGCCACTATGATCATTCTTATGGACTTCTAGAAGAGTAAATAATGAGAAGTTTCTTCCCCCTTCTTTCACAGCAGATCCACACTTGCATGTCACAATCTCAGTTTCCGAAACAGAGACCTGTGTTTGCCAGCAGGGAGGCTACCATTTCCTAACACCATGCAGGCCTGCAATCTCTCCAACACTGACTCCCATGAACACATACATAACTTGTAGCTTGCGAACCTAGGGAATGCAAGTCTGTCCTAACATGGATTAAGCTGCCTTCTTCAAAAGGTAAGCAAATGTTTTTCCTTGTAGAAACTCCCAACATATTGTATTAAAATACCAATACCCGTCTACTTCTTACACTACTGTAATTGTACATTTTAATTTTAGGTTCTAAAATTATGAATGAGAACTTCAGTAACATTATCCCAACAACAAGCAAAACACGCTGGATACATTCAGAAAAATTTCATCCCCTGAAAGGAATACAGTGGGCTGATTAGGCATTTAACCCCAGGAACCCTCAACAGTTTCCATACTAGTAAGAGCCAAACAAAGCTACCTGGACAAAAAGGGCAATGGATTAGAGAACAGGCACAGACATGACTGAGAGCCCTCTCACAATCCCTGCTCAGACCATCTTTGTGTTTATAGGCATTTAAATAATGTTTTAATTACATGTAACAGAAGCCCTTGCTACAATGAGGTTAAAATATTGATGTAATTTCAATGGCATATACTGACCACATTTGAACAACAGCCCAGTTCAGATCAGCCTGTAGCAGAAGTATATGATGTGTCATCAATATTCATAGTATGCTAACGTTAAAGAGTCAGCCTCTGCTAGGACAGTCTTAAAAGGGCACCCATCCAAATGTCACATCAAGCATCCCAGTGGGCAGTACACTGAGATTATAGTAAGTGGCTCCGTATGGCACAGATCCCTTTCTACTAACACACAGAATTTTTTTTTTTTTTAAAGCAAATACATAAAAATTATGTTGCTTGATTTATATTTAGCTGAACATCTGAGGCAATTTTAAAGCTCTTAAAGGACATTCAAAAACTTTCTAAAAAGATCAAGTCCTCTTACATTGTCAGAAGCTGGGGGTTCCCCCAGTAGTCGTTAGACACTTTTGAAATGCCTATTAAGCATAATGTTCCAGAGGTTCAAAGCAGTCTGATGCACACTCTGCATGAAGCGCCTGGCTGCTCAGTACAATTAAAATGAAAGCATTTCTGTGGATGGTTAAATGATTATTTAGGAAGCCAGTTCCAAAATCCCTGATCCAAGGCAACACAACAGAGTAGGCGTTAGGAAAAAAATTATGATCTTAAAAATAACACACATTTATCCAACTGCACTTTACTTCTTAAAACTATGTTTCAAGAATATTAATCCACTTCAAGAACATGGAACAGCTAAATTAGACTTAACTGCTGATGCTGGATTTCTGAGAAAAATCTCTCTGGATTTCTCTACCATGTAAGAGACAATAATTATACACAAAACCAAACAATCAACCAAAGCCATTCAGCCATCGTAACTAACTTTGCAATGCAACAGCACATAAGTCACCTGCCGGGAAGTCCTGTGCTAAATACAGGTTTTATAGCTCTAGTATTTCCGATAGTTTAACACACAATCTACTATCTCAACACAGTCATAGCAAAGGCGTTCCTTTGTTATTATCAGGTTAACCATTAGCAGTCTAGCAAAAGCTTTTCTAAGACATTCCAATATTAAAGAAATTGAGTCTAGACCTAAGTTTCACCTTTATTACTATATTCCAGGCACTAAATGGATTTGATTTATCTACATTTTAGAAAAGTAAATTTAAGTCTCATTTGAGACCTCTAATTAATTTCACAAGTGTGAAAAACATTCACCAATCCAGTTTTAAAAGTCCTGCTACATGCATGGATAGCTGAGTTACTTCACACTTCCCTTGAAAGAAATAACCCTAAACTTGCATGTTTATTTTCTGTTGGAAATACAAATAAAGAACATAGCTTAACAGAATAAGGTATGTATCTTCCTTAGTAAGGTTTTCAAATATGCCTCATGCAAATAAGACGTATCAAAGCATTCTCCTAAAACGTACGATATACACAAGACTTAAATTCCAGACAAAGGGGGTTTTGATTCTCCCCCTCCCCCTGAACAAACAGAAGGTACATGTAGAATAAAACATGGAAAAATCCTCACAGTAAGGTAACTGGTACTGGCCTATGTTTAACAACAACAAAAAAAAACCTCGAACAAAATAGTTTAAATGAGTGTCTTATTTCATCAAGTGTATGTATTTACTTTTCTTTTAAAAAGCTTCAGATGGCTCTTATGTTAACACTAAAGTGTTTACAACATTGTAAAAGCACTTGACATGCAGGAGCCAAGACTTGCACCAATTTTATAGTAAAATGTTCATGGTATATACATCCATTTATTTGTATTCCTACAAATACTCTATTAATTTTAATATATTATGTATAAAAAAATACACTTTATTTACATAACCACAATCTGTTAATATCAAAATGCTTCAGTGCAAACAAACCAAACTTCCCATGACATTGTATTATCCTTCAAGCAATGTAATTTAACTGAGAACAAATTATGACTTTCTTTTTTTAAAGGGAGGTGAGAGAAATACTTTAGTTTTTTTCCAAAATGCGAATTATTATGTATTCTCACATCTAGTCTGTAGCAATATTTTGGATAATATGAGAACTATCATTTCTCTGTGTAAACATGGATCACCCCCAGGTTTGCCACCATGTCCATCTCAAGCATCTTCAAAGATGCAGTTGACAGAGAAAGGAAGGGAACAGTAACTTCAGCTGGATCTGTCTTCAGCGTGATTTACTCAATTATGTGGTGTCAGATGCATATATTCAGACTTAAACACGTATTTAAGACTAAACATGTATTTAAGTTATCCTACTACAGGCCATGACACACAAAATTGCACTGAAAGAAAAAGCTAACAGTGTCTGAAGGATCATATATTGCAAGCCTATCAAATTTATGAGATTAATCACATGCAATGCCTAATAAAAAAAAATTACTGAAAAATATTCAGAATAATTTAACTCAGAAGTATCTTTTCCTTATCAGAGTTGTTAATGCTAAAGCCCTCCATATACCGTCTCATTTGCACTATACCATGCATTATACTCCTGTTAGAATGAAAGGATTCTGCTTTTTCATTGTTCTTCATAAAATTTACAAAAAGAGAAGAAAACATTGTAGCTGGAATTCTTTTCTTCAAAAGACTGTATGTTATGAGAAATAAAGTCCTGTGCACTTAACAGGCTAGACACATACAGGCTAGACACTGCTAAGTGGATAACCATGCACCCTAGCAATTCACATACTTTGTTTTGTAGGGTGGTTTTCTTTTTTCCTCCGTTTTATATACAGTAGCTCTTTATGCTGGTATTCCATAAAATTTATACTTACCTTGGCAGACTCTGCATCACACGGTACATAAAGCGTGCACGATACAGAGCACCTACTTAAAGAAACACACTCACCAATACATATTGTAAACTTTTTCAAATAATAAAATGGAAATTGTGTTGTCTATGAGCACATTTTCTGCCAATCTGTTCTCACTAAGTGTGCTTCTTCTAGTGTGCTATCGCTTACATTTTAAACTTACGGGCATTTGCGAAAAATGTAAGATCCCCATCAGAGCTGATAAGCTGTAAGAACTTATCTACTTTTGGCCTCAGTTTGACCACAGAAAAATAAATCTATTATTGTCCTTCCCTTCTTTTGCCTCAGAATAAGAATTTAAACATCAGTTTCAGATTAGGCTATTTCACATGCTGTAATGAAAAAACAGAATGCACTCTTGTGTTTAACTTAAAAGTAGTATCCTTCACTGACATGATACCTCTGTCAAATATTTTTTCAGTGAAAGAAAGCCTAATCCAGCTGACAAAAACTTAGATGCTCTTGACAGTAATTTAAAATATTTAGAAGATATAGACCAGATGATTCTATAACTCCTTTGCATGTTTAGCTACATCCTTCATAATCCCAATTTCAGTGAAGAACTAAAGCCCAGGGTGAATAGCTACAGGATATTAATAGAGTAAGAAAGACAAAGACAGCTTTAAATGGGTTATTTCTTACAGTTATTACTTGTTATTTAGAAAAACAGAGTTTTCCTAAATTAGTCCAACTGTTTTCTGGATGCAGTCTTATCCCTAGTCTGAAGAACTTCCCCCTTACCCTAGTATGATTTCTACAGACCAGTATACTGCCACATACATTCAACTCACAGGCAACTTTGACATCAATACCTGTAAAAACACATCTGTGTCTGTCTCGAGTTTTTTTTTTCCCCAAGTCATGCAAATACCTATTACAAACCTACAGAAAACACTGGGATGCCCCATTCCTTGTTTTACCTTTTCACTCCAAGAGATTACCATGTGTTAATTATGCAGCACAAAAGCTAGTTAATACTTCTCATGCTTCAACAAAAAAATCTGCACTAATTTTAAAAACTGTAGTAGATTAGGCAAATTTAAATACACCTGCTCACACTAACCATTCTTCTCATGCTACTGCTTGTTTCCATGCTAGAGGTTCTTGCCCTGCTGAAGTCCATATTCTATTCTAAGCGTAGAAGTTGTTATACCCCACTATAACTAATGAGAACTTCGCCGTATCATTTAAGCTTTATAATAATGTCAGGCATTTCACTATGACTGGAATTTTTGAAACACTAACACTGGTAAAAGAGAGAAGACAATTTAACAAAAATGATTAAAGTTACCAGCATATGGTCATTTACTTCCAGAAGTGAACTGCTTGTATTTCCACAGGTGTTTTAACGTTTCATATGTTGCAATTTAAGATTTATTTCTAAACACTCAAGTTTAACCCAGAAAATCCTTTTTACTTCAAATAAAAGAATTCTTTACTAAGGATGAGCCAACTTAGAATAGAAAAGGTTGTACATACCTTAGGTTCTAGGAAGTATCCTTTAAAATACCGATACCGAACAGGAACTCCTCTAGGAAGCTCTACAGTAGCTTTCCATAATTGACTGTGGAAAAAAACAAAACAGTTTCAAAATACGGGCTAACAGCCACCTCAGACATATGTCTGTCCTAAGTGATATTCTAAAATAAGGTTTAGTGTATTGCTGCAAGGAAGTTTTTTTACAAGGTAACTTAGCCAAAGAAGCACAAAGTACAATAAATACTTAGAACTGAAACTACACTTTCTAATCTACAGATCTGAAGTGCTCTAATGGAGCAAGAATTCTCATGATCATTTAACAGACAGGGAAAACATGACGAAATAATTCAGGGATTCATCCAAGATAACACAGCAAGTCACTCAATTATAAATACATCCTGCGAGCCCTATTTTTCTACATCATACAAACAGCGATAGGCAGGGCACCATTTTAAAACACTGAATTCTTCCGCTGCATTTAAACTTTCTTCATGTACACTCATCGTTATATACACACAAACCACTTAAGAGTTTTAATGCAACTCTTGTTTTAAATCTTCTCCCCATCTCTTTATAGCCACAATAACAACTTGTATAGGTTAAAAAGAAAGTAAACACTATAAACATTTCCTATAACTTGCTGTATAGTTATGGGACTGAGAATTATCCATAGCAGTTTCTCATTCAAAATGTCTACAACTAAACTATTGAAATATGCCAGCCACAATGGTAGAAGAATCATCTGTAACTAGAAAAGCATACCCAAGTTAAACATTTTCTTAGACACATTCCTAAGCATTCAAAATGTTCAAGGGCAACACAAGACATTATGGAGAGTTTTAATAACAGTACTTGTAGCTCAACAGTTTACAAACTCAAAGCCAGAATAAATTTGTTACTCCAGAACTCCAGCTACTTCAAAGGGAACAAAAAAACCCAAAAACCCCAACTTACCGATCGTCAGTTTGGAGGACCACTGCAACTTGTGGATTCCAATTTCCCAAAGCACTGCAGCTCCCACATATTGCAAAAACCTCTCCTAAAAAAACCCAAACAGAAAAACAATCATCATTATTCAAACCTATATGGAATTATTAAGTACAGCCTACATGATCAAACCTTCAAATACTTTAAACACCCAACCAAACTCCCTCTTTTTGGTTCAGAAAGGAACTCCCCCCCCAAAAAAATTACAACAATGTTTTCTTCTCCATTATAAAGACAGACCTCACTGAGAGAGGGACTACTGACAACCCCAGCCCTTAAAAAGGCTGGCTTCCAAATCCTCCTGCAGTAATACTGGTAAAAAATCTCTGCAAATGCAGCAGGCAGATTTTCACTGTAAAATGCTTTTTTTCCCATATACTGTATAGGGGTTTTTTATATATATACACACACACACATATACATACACACACACACTGTACCAAGGTAACATACATATCTAAACATAATTCTCTGAAATTCATACCAATAATCTAGAAAACACAGACAAATAAGAGGTTTCTAGCATCATTATCAAAACAACACATCCGTTTAATTTTATTGCTGTGAGAAACAATTTTGCTGCTATGCTTTGTGTTTTTATTGGATATAAAAACTTAACACTGTTACAGAAAAAAACAACCATTAAATTGTCACACTCTGTCTACCCGAATGCATATATACATACAGAAAGAACACAAAAGATTACAACAATATAAGAATGCTTGATTCTGGGATATCCTGGAGTTAAAGTTAACACTGCAACTTACCCTTGTTTTTAATATAAAACATACACACACACAACTGTAAGAACAACAACAATGACAACTGGAAAGGACAAATTAAGATTTTGCTTTTACAGAGTTTCAACAGTATTTTTAGACACAAGAAAAAAAATCTGTTGTAGGAGGAGAATATGTGAAGTTTTAAAGTATATTTATGCACCATCTCCTTAACCTTTCAGTCTTGCTATGCAAAATTTAAGAACTACCAGAGTATTGCAGCAACTTCTAAATAAAATGTAACTAAAAAAATACTGAAATTCACTTCAGCCTCTAACAGGAAATGCCTAGATGTAAAGGAATGCCTCAATAGGAAAAAGCAAGGATCAAACTGATAGCTGAAAACTTTGAGATGAAAAAAGCATCATTCTTAACAAAAGCAAGATACAAGTATCTGTGATGGTGGTTTCATGTTCTCAAACTGGGAAAGCAGTAGCAATAGTGCTGAAGCCACAATAATCTGAAGATACAAAGGAGGCAAGATATATACGACAAAGATACACCACCTTTTACTAAGCCAAATATCTGCAGACCCAGGGGTTGCAAAAAATTTACAAAAGCCAGGAATTAAGTAAGGTAATTTGTTCCTAAAAACAGCTTACTGAAATAATTTTTGAGAACATCTTGAACTACAGTTCCTTTTTTTTTTTAGAAAATCTTTTGATCCAAACCATTAAAAAAAATCCAAGCTTTTCAGATGTCCACTGTAAGCATACAAATGCGGACAAAAATCAGCCACATCAGTGTACTTACTATGCAATTCACTGCACACAATTGCCTAGGTCACGTGCTTTACCTCTTCCACTCTGTACTGAGGCACATTATGGTTCGTTTTTGCAGGGATGAGATAAAGGGGGGAGGGAAGACCACTTGAATACCACACAGTTGAATTTCTGACTGGAGATATTAAAGAGAAACTAAAATTCTTTTATTAACCCTTTAAAATAGCAGCATTTAATACATCTTAGTGTACATGCCAGCCAGTCTCTGAAGTGCCATCTAAATGACATTCCTCTTAGTAGCAGCTAGCTAGAATAGTTTTCTGGTCTTCTTTTTTAAACAAACAAAAACATGTAAACATTCAGTGAACTCTTATCACTCAGTAAGGTACAACACACAAAAGGCAACATTTGAACAAGATGCACAGTCACCCCTAAACTCAATTCAACAATTACATTCCAAGGCTGAATCAGGATTTGTAAAATGCTGCTTAAATTATCCCAGGAAAGGCACAAGAGAAATGCACAATAAACTGTAACTGCCTTTTCAAAGGCAATTCTAAACTCAGTGGGGTTTTATTTTGTTTTGTGTTTTAAGCTCAGGGGTCCCCAATTTCTTGCTCTCCCCTTGCCAGGGAATCCAATGCTGCTACTGGCAGAGCTCCTTCAGCTACAGCAAAGGGGAAACTACTCCATGCCTTTTGCCCAGTCTCAAAGCTTGCAACAGCCTCACTGATGCTGCAATCTCTCTGCTCTGGCCAGCTCTGTTGGAGCAGAATTTTGTGTACAGCTGGGAGCCAGAAGCTTCCTTTTTTATTTCATATTAGCTAATATTTGGCCACGTAGCAGTCTCTTGGTATGGGACTGTGTCCTGATGAAGACCTAAAGCAGTCACAGCCAGTAACCAGTGACCCTCTTCCTTCCACGAGGATTAGGCAAAAATTAAGCACTCCATGTCACAAATATATAAAAGCTTATGTCAATGTGTCAAGCTTCACCACCAATGTTGACTCCAGAAGTGGTTTGCCTAGACAGAGTGAGTCAAAGCATTATTCCTATGCTGGTGATGCCCTTTTATCCTGCCAGTTAGCCTGGAACCACTGGTTTTGACATCATCATTGTCCCTTCCTGTTGAGGACACAGGGAGCACATTAGCGCTCAAGGTGATGATTCTTGTCTCACCAAGTAAGTACTCGCCATGGTAATCTGACAAAATCAGTTCATGACATTTCTAAATAAACTGGAAATTTTGCTGTTTGTAGAACTGCTGATAGCTCTGAAAACCTACCTCTCTTCTTTCACAAGACTGCACCTTGCCACTGCTGCATCTCAAAGCTCTTCTCCCCCGTCAAAACCAACAGTATCAATATTGTCATAAGCAGAAGCAACCTTCTGTGTCACCTTTTTATGCTATACATATGACAAGTATTTCCAGATAATTCTTTGTAACCAGCCACTGAGACAGAATCTAGTTCTCTCTAATCCTAATTTTTGTTGCATATATTATCAGTAAAAGAAAAAGTTACACATCCAAAGTCAACTTCGCTAGTGACAGTGCCATCGCAATAGTGGAAGCAACACTGTAAACAGGGCAAAAAGAGCATGACTTGCAATACTCCATTATATACCTATACTAGTGCTTTATAGCCTCATTTGATCTAAGGTCAATTTATTCTTCAATTTTAAAGTTTGCTCCAGAATGCTATAAAAACACTACTCCTTTCTAAAGGCTTCGTGCCCACATCACTTGTCAATGTTCAGTTCCCAAATTCCCAATCAAATGGGAGAAACACAGGAGACGTCTAACACAGGGCAGACATCAAAACTTTTAAAATGTTTTTATCATTTTTCTTCCCCAACTACAACAGACACTTATGCCATCTTAACAGACACTTATGCCATCTGCCTGTAACAGGAATTTTGCTCATATTCATCTGCTTCCGTTAGGCAACCACCGCTTATTTTTTTGGTGACCTTCCTTCAAAGTTCCTAAAGATGAAGGTCAAAGTAATAAGCACAATTCATCAACACTAAATCTTGGTGTTCTACATGATCTGACAGCTTGTGTTCCTCCTTTAGATTACAGAAGTTATTTTACACATTTTTGCACAGATAGAATACTGAATTAAGCTCCATATTCTCTCTGTCCTTTACCCCCTAGTAGAGGTCACATGTTGTTATGGAGAACTTTAAACAGGGATGCAGAGAGAACAAAAAACAGAACAAACATGTCAATGCATGCCTGACTATCATGGTCCAGAATTTAAATACTCATTCCCATGGAATACAAAGTTACTAGAGACAGACCACTGGTTTTAAAACAATCAACCATCTCCGTCACCATCAAAATCTCTAGCTCAGTATGAAATTGTTGTTTGAAGAAAAAGGTAAAAATTAATTCCCAAATCTCATTTTCAAATTTCTATGTGAAATTTCTTAATTAATGTATTTTACAATGACTTATCATTTTGATATTTGATCTGACATGCTCTTTTACCTCTGAAGAAAACAGAAGAGACAGCCTTTGAACATGCTTCTATTCAGTTTTCTTCTAGTTAAACCGTACAAAAAGGAGAAAGCACGATTTGGTACCTGGTACTGATGGTCCTCTTACTTCAAATGTGACTTGAGAAGAGGTCATACTTGCAGAACTTTTGTCTTAGGATAGTTGAAATCCCCTATAGTGGGGGGAAAAAAAGATACATTTCAGTAAAAATACACTACATCTGTTGCTGTCCTAAGAGGAAACACGAATCCTACTACTTATAGGGAAACAAGCACAGACAACAGCATCCAGCTGCAGGAGACACTGTTGCAACACCAGCACAAGGAAGACTACTAAATCAAATACCCTCTGCAAGTATCAATATCATGCAGCATTCATCAGTCTCAAGCTGAGATTTTTCAAAAACACCTGTTTTGACTAATTTTGCTCTCAAAGAGGCCACTGTGAGTTTTATTATAAGACATTTAGGATTATGACCTTTGGCAAGCAGTAACTTCTGACTGTCTCCCTGTGCTATTCTTCAGCATCCTCTTCAAAACACAAGAAAGGTTTCATAGATAAGCACTATCACCTTGAAGGAAAAAGGGGAAGAACCCATGACAGATGACAGTTCACTGCTGTCACAGGCAGTAAGTTCTTCATCACCTTGGACTCTGCGCCCCTGCCAATACTTCCAGCCTTTCACATGGAGCAGCAGCAACTAGAAGCACCAAGCAGACTTCAAAACACCACAGCAGGAAGGGACTCCCTATAGCCTCTGTAGCCAGGACAGTAGCTGGAGGATTGACCCTGCTTCAATTTTCTATCCTCCTCCCATAACTTGATGGAAAAAAAGCTGGCAGAATCCCACTGTCCCCATTACAGCAGAAACACTATTGATGTGAAATATCTTTTTATGTAATCAATAGAGGAAGTACAAGAGCAACAGGAGTTAATGTAATTCCCTAAATAATAGGGAACCCAAGCTCTCCCCTCCTGATTCTAGGAGAGCACTTCTAGAAGATGCACGCAAACAGCCATGGACCCCAGGCCCCTAAAGGCACTTGGAAGAAGAGAAAAGATGACATTTAAGACTCTCCTAGCATAACACAATCAACTACTAATGTATCACAAAATATCATAGCTTTCCTCTAAAATGAGGTAGCAAAGGTCATCATGGATGGGGAAGACCCAGATAATTTTTGGTTGTAGTCAAAATATACCAGAACATGGACTTAATTTAATAATTCCAAGCTTGAAGTTCATTTGAGCCTTTTGGCTTACAGGTCTAGTGGTATATAAGACCCCTTCAAGACCTTTCAAGCTTTAGTAGATTATTCCCCCCACCCCTTAATTTCCTTAACCTTTCCAATATTTTTTAAGAGGTATTGGCCGTTTGCTCTCCCATATTTTATACTCAGTATTTCAGGCTTAGATAAATACATACCAAGTAATCTGGGACAATCCTAGAATTTAATAGCCTAGCTTACAAACACTGAACAAATTTTAGACTCAAAAATTCACAGCATTCATAAAGCCAGATGACATGTTCTCTCTCAATACAAGTGAGATTTTTAATAGCAACTCAAACAGGTTTGCGAGGCTCTGACTCCTAACGCTCTAAGGGCAATGTTTGAGACAGGCTTGAAGCACGATGTGATTTTTTTTTCCTACCGCAGCGGCTTACAAGCCTGAAGGCCTTGAACTTTCTTTTTGTTGTATAGACAGAAGGCCTTCAAAATTAGGCAGTAAGCACTTCAGGCAACAATATTAAGATAGATCTGAATGAAAAGCTGACTTTATCAACTGAGTTGGCTGTAAGGGCTGCAGAATGCTTGCTTATACTTAGCAGTAGAAGGAAAAATATGCATTGACATCTAATGGGGAAAGAGAGGGAAGACAAACAGACCAAGCTTCAGGAAATTCTGCACTACCTTTCTAAATTGGGGGGGGGGGGGGGTTCCTTTTAAAAAAAAAAAAAACCTC